AAAAAATTCTTTTCTTTTGGGTACCAGGAATCGAACTCAGGACCTCATGCTTGCTGGGCAGGGGCTGCGTCACTGAGCTATATCTACAGGCCCCCCAAATTTTAAAAATTTAGTGAATAAAAGAAGATATTGGATATCATGATTGTGCAACCTCTAACAAATTAACAAATTTATCCATTGAACATCAGGGACTGCTAACATCATAAAGAACTGCAAGTTTGAGCCCAGCCTGGGTGACTTAGTGAGACCCTGTCTCAAAATTAAAAAAAAAAAAAGGGGGGGGGCTGGGTATGTAGCTCAGTACAAAGATCTTGGGTTCAATCCCTAGTACTGAAAAACAGAAATAAAAAATAAATGACCTGGACATGTTGAGTGCACGCCTGTAATCCCAGCATTTGGGACGCTGAGGGAAGATGATTCCTGCGAATCACTGTGAGTTTGAGGCCAGCCTGGGCTACAAAGTGAGCTCAAGGGCAGCCTGAACTGCATAGTGAGACCCTGTCTCAAAAAGGGAAAAAAAAAAAAAAAAGATATATCACGCATACAAATTAACTTATGTCAAAGGGAGATATTTATTATGATTTTTTTTTTAAGATTGTTTGAAAGAGCAACAAATAATGAAAAAACCCTAAATTAATAGAGTTAAACTGTGAAACACACAATGGAACAGTAAGCATTTGTTAAAAAAACAAAACAGTGAAGCAGCTATGTGTGTGCTGATAAGGTATAATGTTGAAGATGTGTGGCTAAGGGAAAAGAGTAATGTGGAGAAGGACATTCTTCAGTTACTGTTTTGTGTATTGCCTGAGGCCTGGCCAAGCCATGATTCTTGGGTTCTGGAGGAAGTCTAGCATAAGCATTGTAAGCCCCAGGATCAATATTAGATGCTTTGCTGAGATATGGGCAAAGGAAGATAACACGAGGGCTTACTGGTCAGGTCGCATTCCTATGATAATTGAGTTGTACTGTCCTTGCTAAAACAGTTGATATCCTCCGATTCCTCTGCTGCCTCCTTGGTTGATTCTGAATAAAAGCTTACTGAAGATGGTAATCAGGAGTCAGTCAGTCCTAGAGGCTGCTAGCACCTGATCACAGGATTTTGGCTCTCTTGGTTTGAT